GTAGGCCATTCGGCCCCTCGAGTCTGCCCTGCCATTCGATAAGATCATGGCTGATCTTCAGACCTAACTCTAATTACCTGCCCTATCCCCATATCCCCTAATCCCTCTGTTTTTAAAACATCTATCAGTCTCAGCCTTGAAGATGTTCAAGGACTGAGCATCTACAGCCTTCTGGGGTAGTGAATTCCATAAATGCACTACCTTCTGAGTGAAGAAATGTTTCCTCAACTCTGTTCTAAAAGGCTGACCCTTAATTTTAAGACTGTGACCCCTGGTTATAGATTCTCCTACCAGGGGAAACGGACCCTCAGTGTCTACTTGATCCAGGCCTTTAAGAATCTTATATGTTTCAATAAGATCTCCCCTAATTCTTCTGTACTCTAGAGAATATAGCCCTAGTTTATTCAGCCTATCCTCATAGGTCAGTCCCCTCATCCCAGGAACTAACCTAGTGAATCTACGCTGCACCCCCTCTTGGGCAAGTATGTCCTTTTTTAAATAAGGAGACCAAAAGTGCACACAATACTCTAGGTGCGGTCTCACCAAGGCAGCAAGACTTCCCTACTCTTGTACTCTAAACCTTTTGCAATGAACGCTAACATGCCATTCACCTTCTTAGTTGCTTGCTGCACCTGCAAACTAACTTTTTGAGACGGGTGTACAAGGACACCCAAATCCCTCTGCACACTAACACTATCTAATCTCTCCCCCTCTAGAAAATAATCTGTTTTTCTATTTTTTTCTACCTAGGTAAATAACTTCACACTTCCCCACATTAAATTCCATCTGCCACCTACTCGACCACTCCCCAAGCCTATCTCTATCCCGTTGCAATCTTTTTGCATCATCCTCATAGCTTACTCTCCCACCTAGTTTAGTGTCATTCGCGAAGTTAGATACGTTGCATTCAATGTCCTAGTCTGGATCATTGATGTAAATTGTAAATAGCTGAGGCCCAAGCACTGATCCTTGTGGCACTCCACTAGTCACATCCTGCCAATTCGAGAATGACCTGTTTATCCCTACTCTCTGTTTTCTACCCATTAGCCACTGTTCAATCCATGCTAATATGTTCCCATTAATCCCATGGGCTTTAACCTTGTGCAATAGCCTTTTGTGTGGCACTTTGCCAAATGCCTTTTTAAAATCTAAATGTACTACATCTACTGGTTCCCCCCTATCTAACCTGCTAGATACATCTTCAAAAAACTCTAAAAGATTACTTAAGCTCCACACCTTTGAACCTGTCTCCTTCTCCTCTCTCATCACCACCATATCCTGTATGAAACCCACCACCTGCTCCCTTGACCCCATCCCTACCACTCTCCTTATCTCCCAGCTCCACCTCCTTGCCCCTCTATTCACTGACATCATAAACCTCTCCCTATCCTCTGGTAATGTTCCCACCCCTTTAAAAACAGCTGTCATTACTCCTATCCTTAAAAAATCCTCCCTGGATCCTTCTCTACTCCCTAATTACTGCCCCATCTCCAAACTCCCTTTCCTCTCCAAGGTCCTGGAACGAGTTGTTGTTTCTCAGCTTCATTCCTTCCTCTTCCACCACTCCCTTCTAAACCCTCCAATCGGGCTTCCATGCCACCCACAGCACAGAAACCACCCTGGTCAAAGTGACAAATGACATTTTGTCCATCTGCGACCAGGGATCCCTCTGCTGCCTCGTCCTCCTTGACCTCTCTGCTGCTTTCAACACCGTTGACCACTTTATTCTCATCCACTGCCTCTCCTCTCACCTCAACCTCCACAGCATTGTCCTTGACTGGTTCAGATTGTGCCTCTCACACTGACTTTCATCTCCTCAAATGGCTTCTCCTCTAGCACCCTTGTGCAGCGTTCCTCAGGGCTCTGTCCTTGTTCCCCTTCTCTTTGATATCCATATGCTCCCTCTTCGTGACACCATCCACAGACACGGGGTCAACTTCCACATGTGTGCGGATGACACACAGCTCTACTACTTCTCCTCCACCCTTGACTCCAGGGCCACTGCTGTCCTGACAGAATGTCTGTCAGACATCAAGTCCTGGATGAGAGCTAACTTTCTTCAGTTGAACTCCAACAAGATTGAGGCTCTCCTGATTGGCTCCCGTCAGCGCCTCCACACCTCAGACGCTGACAGCATCACCATCCATGGTTGCACACTCCATCTTGCTAAGCCAGTCCAGAACCTTGTGGTTTTGTTTGACTAACCTTTCTACCCCACATCTGCGCTATGACCAGCTCTGCCTTCCCCCATCTCCACCTCCGACACTGTCTCATACCGCAGGCCGCCGAAACTCTCTTACATGCTTTCATTACATCGAGGCTCGACTATGAAAACTCATTGCTTGTCGGCCTCCCCAACTCCTCCCTCCACAGACTGCAAATCATCCAGAGCTCTCCAGCCGTCTCCAACACTAGGCTCAGCAACCCTATCACCTCCATCCTTGCCCGACTCCACTGGCTTCCCATTACACAGAAGATACAGTTAAAGATCCTGGTCCTCACCTTCAAAGCCCTCCATGGTCTTGCTCCCCCTAACTCTGTGACTTCCTAAACCCTACCATCCTGTTCACTCCCTCTACTCAGCAGCTCCAGCATCCTTCACGTCCCCCTCCTCACTTGCCCCACTATTGGTGGGCGGGCTTTCCGCCACTCTGTCCCCACCCTCTTGAACTCCATCCTGCAGTCCCTCCGCCTCGCTCCCTCCCTTGCCACCTTCAAGACCTCCTCTTCGACTGTGCTTTCGATCTCCCTGCTTCCCCCTCTGCCCTCCACCCTCCCCCACCTCGACCCCCTGCTCGGATCTGTAACTCTGTCTATCCAGCGCCTTGGGACATCCTCCCGACGTGAAAGGCACTATACAAATGTAATTTTGTTGTTCAGGTGGACATTAAATACCCTGTGGCACTGTTCAAAAAGAGAAGCAAGTTTCTCTGGGTATCCTGCCCATCAAACCCCCCAAACTAAGAAAAAAGTGGTCAAACATTTCGTGGCTGCTGTGCATAATTGGGATGCCATGTGTGCCTACAAATAGTCAATTCATTTCACAGTAAATCCTGTGAAGCACTTTCAAACATCCTCCCAATGTGAAAGGTGCTATACCAAATGCAAGAATTATTATTATTGGTTTCCAGGTTCACCTACACAAGTCACCACACTTTACAATAATTCCTGTGAAGCAATTTGAGACATCTCAATGGCCATGATAAAGTGCTATATCACCATATTACAATACTACTGGAAGATAAAATTTGAATTATTCAATTTATAAAACATCAACTGTGCTAAGAATTGCATTTGCAAATCAATTGGGGGGGAAAAAATCGATAATTATGATTGTGTGTTAAGAAATCTGTTAAGAATACTGCAAATTAAACTCAATAAAGAAACACCAAAAGAAAGCATTTTAAATGAAAACAAGGGGCAAGTCAGTTTTCCACAAATATATTTAATAATTAATTTTATCATGCAATACATTCATTATTTTCACTCAACTATACAATTACTTTTATCTTGCACTGAATATTTTGCATTAAAACAAAGCTGTAAACAAAAACTGGAACAACTGACCACTTGTGCGAAAACATTGAAATAAACAAATTCATGGTCAGTTGTGAATTGTGAGAATTGCACATATAAATCACCTATGCTTAGCTTGTGATAAGCTTTTATAGTGTATGATTATAACATCTTTATTTCCTTTCACATTTGTTATTTCAACTGGTTATTTGTACAGGTGTTATGTGGTATAGAGAGGGGAATGTGATCATTTCAGATAGTCACTTCATATGCCTGCCAGGGAATTTTGGCTCTTAGTTTTGGTAGATTTTGTATTCTCATAAGACTTGGCTTTGCCCAGATCTTTCTACTATACAGGCAATTATCACCAGCAAGACAATTAACTGTACACTAGTGGCTCTCTCCTGTCCCCATTACAATTTTCCCAGCTGAACAGCAGGAGCATGTACCAAAAATACCACACAAACAGCATGGGACACATACAGCACAGTACACATATAGACTTACTGTTTGCCTTCCTTTCATTCTTGTTGGCAACTATGGATACATCGATGAGGAGGTACATCAATTACACTTTCATTCATTACATGCTTAATGTTTGACACAATCTGATAAAAGCATTTTGAAGCAATATGTCCCCATTTGTAAACTTGTACACTAAAGATCCCAAATTCTACCAAGTCTTAGCCTGTTGGGTATATTTCGTCTTAAAATGTTATGCTTGCACAAAATTGTGGAACATTTTAAAATGTATTCTTGAGACATTCTTTTTTAATAACTACAAAAAAGTTACGATGATTTTTTTCGAGAATTCTCCATGATGTTAAATTTTAAGACAAAATGGTCTTACAGGCTCAAACCAGGTGGAACTTTGAAACTTAAGAGGGGAGATTGATCCATTGATCCATTGTTCCATTGATCCTGGGATTATCAATATATACTCTAAATCAATCAAGTTAAGTGCATGGGTAAGAAAATAGAACTTCATTAACAAAATAACAATAGTTAATAATAATAGTTGTGGAGTATTGCAATGATCACATACTGAAATTTTTTTCTACTCGTCTTAGCTGTTTAAATTAACTTTGAAGGAAAAACAACAACAAATTACGTATGTCCCAAGGAGCTAGACAGTCAGGAATCTGCAGCCAATTAATCTGCAGCTGGTTGTTGGGACCAGGAGAGGTGGAAGGAGGGTAAGGGTAGGAGGCATGGTCGAAGAGGAGGATCTTGAGATGGAGGCAAGGGAAGGAGACTAATAGTTTCTCACACAGAAACAGTTGCTTCTATTAAGCAAAACCCTCGACCTCATCCCAAAGATAATCAAAGTTTGTAGAGAAATGGCTGTACTTCCCTGGTATTTTCCTGAGTATTTAGTGACCCTCAATGTCAGTTTTTCACATAGAAGATATGGTAGCAGTAGAGGTGAAACCACGCAGATGATCATTTCCTCGATTTTGACTTCTTTATCATTTCATCTATGATCAAACCTCATTGTCCTTATTCTAAACAAGAGATAATTTAATTGCATCAGTTTTATGTTCTTTAGTCTTCAAAACAAATCTCCTTGAATACACACTACAAATTAGCCCCCAAACTATATTATCTCTCCCAATGCCAGTATGCCAATAAAATTAGTCATTATGGGTGTTTGTGGGACATTGCTGTGAGCAATGTATGTTGCAAAAGCAAAGAATAGGGGTTACAGTAGTTAACTCCAGTAGAAGAGTTTGTACTAGCATATGCACAATGGCTTGAATGGGCTTTATCTATGTTGTAATTGTTATGATCCTATAAATAGATAAATAAGTGTTTAGTTCCTAAATGAAGTAGAATTATTAAATAATTACTTCACGCCTATAGCCTTAGGAACGGAAGTTGCCCAAGGTATAAATGCAAAGGTACATTATGTTTCTAAGTAGCATGGTTTAGTAATGGTACTCTTAAAACAACAACAACAACAAGATTGCATTTATAGAACACCTTTCACGTCAGGAGGACGTCCCACGGCGCTGGACAGTTGGATCGGGACCCGAGCAAGGGGGAAATGGTCAGGGTGAGGGGAGGGAAGGGAGGGAGCGAGGAGGGGGTAGAGAGTTGAGAGGGGAGGTGAAGGCACGGTTGAAGAGGAAGAATAAGAATGTATGTTTTGGCTTTTTGCAAACTGCATAGCTAGCTGTGAAGTGTGCTGTTCCTTACCAATTTCTCGTACTTTCCCACAGCTTTTGCAGGTTTTACTTGCGTTCCTTTATACGCTACAAAATGGGTAAGCGTGATAATTCTGGGGAAAAAAGTGAAAAATATATATATTATTATTACTGCTTAACCTTTTAAAAGGTGAAACATTCTTAAAAGAGTATAAAGTTTGATAATTTCTACCTGTGGTACAGCATGGCAAGGAACTGAATCGACAGCAGACCAGCAAAGGTGATTAGAAACATAAACCCTATTGGCTCTACTTGCAGCTTATCGGTGATTGAAAGGCTTCCATTTGGAAGGATCTTGGGGATCGTGATTTGTATCGCAGTGCCAATAGCTTGCAGGAAAACTGTTGCAACTATCCAAAAAATATTAATTATAAAGAACAAAAAGGTGGCCTGTAAAGAAAGAAACATTACTTTAGAATGCTGTATTGTAGTAGACTTATGATCACAAAAAATGTGACTACAATAATGGAAATAATGTTCCTACTGAATAATAATTCATGCATTTGCTAGATCGCTTTTTCATGTTGGCAAAGTCTCAAAGTACTTCACAGGATTTACTATAACATGAATGGTTGCGTATTTTGTGCAAGCAATCTTGCACACAGGAATTATCAAATGCAGCGATTAAAAAAAAAAAAAAAAAAAAAAAAAAAAAAAAAAAAAAAAATAATAATAATAATAATATAATAATCCTTGCATTTGATATAGCGCTTTTCACGTCGGGAGGACGTCCCAAAGCGCTTCACAGAATAGACTGTATCCTTGCATTTGATATAGCGCTTTTCACGTCGGGAGGACGTCCAAAGCGCTTCACAGAATAGACTGTAAAATCCTTGCATTTGATATAGCGCTTTTCACGTCGGGAGGACGTCCCAAAGCGCTTCACAGAATAGACTGTAAAGTGAATTGACTGTATATTGTGGGCGAACGCGGCAGCCAATTGCGCACAGCAATGGCCCACAAACAGTCGTAGATTGAAGAATTACAAATCGTAGATTGAAAATGACCAATTTTTTTTTTTTTTTTTTTTTTTTTTTTGGAGGGACTATTATTAGGCATGTGGAGTAAGGAAACTTGCCCAAGGTTTCGCCCTGCCTGGAATTGAACTCAGGTCTCTCACTTGCAAAGCGAGTGCTCTAACCACTGAGCTACAGGACTCCAATTGAGTACTACAGGACTAATTGATTGCTAGGTTTACCTTATTTCTGACAGTTTTCAAATCTTTCTTAATCTCTGCCTGTTTGGCTTTGTCCTCATTCAATGGTTCCAGGTACAACTTGATTAGATCCACCCAGAAAGGTTTCTCCACCTACAAATAATAAACAGAAGCACACGAAAGTCAAAAAATAAGGTTTATATTCCATCGGTATACCTGAGATTCATAGTTTGTTTTATATCACAGGTCAGGGTACAAAGTATGGAATAGAGAAGTACATTATTAATGGCAGTGAAAAGGAGCATTGAGTTCTTAATGAGTACAGTAAAACCAGATTGCTTTGCAGGATATAAGTGGTACTCATAACCAAGTACTGCAATTGGATCAAATGCTCAGTGCATAAAATGCAAAACAGCTTGGTTCCTTGTATAGTCAATCAATTCAAATTGATTTCTTTGTCTCTCATGGTCAGCACAGTACTAATGACTATGAACATATTAACGCTGCACGTAATATGCTCCTTGAGAAATTATGATGAATAATACTACAGAAGTTAAAAAAAAGGACATCAACTTACTTCATCAAGTTTTTCTTCGATGAGCTCTATGTAACATGACTGCTCTTGCAAATTCTTCACCCAATCTGCATCAAGAACAAAGCAAAAAAATCACCTCTCTGAGAAACGTATGTGCAGGTTTTGAGTGACCACAAACCTTCCGTTTCACCCTTTAATCCATTGAAAACCTGAAAAGCTAATTGAATATATCACAGAAGGGCTATGAATGAAAAAGGCCTTGTGTTTTATTTGATCTCATCCTTTTAGAATAGCTGTCCTATCAGTTTCAAGCTGTTTCTTAAAAGAATCCACTGTTCTGGCCTCACGGAATGGGATTATGTTCATTATCCTCTATGTGATCAAAACCTGGTGTCTACCCTTTATTAAATTGAAACTATGCTGTGAACATGATTTCTGGAGATTTGAGCTGAACTGATTTGACAAATGTCGTCCGACATGCTATCTTCCTTCTTTATTGCTGCCTCACTGTCTTGTGACACAGTGGGCAAACTCATGAGGAGCAAGCGTCAGAGTTGATTCAGTGGAGTGTCAAGCACTGTAAGGAAAGTGCAGATTAAGATAAATATTAGTGCTGCAAGGGGGCTGAATTGGGGTGGGGTAAAGTGGATAGAATAATGGAGGGGGAATCATCACTGGCAAGAAGAGGGAGAGAAAGAGGGAAGTCAGATTTCAATAGTGGAGGTTTGGGATTTATAAATATTGTGGAGTTTTGCAATGATTTAGGAGTAGCTGTGAAGAACTTTCCCCTAGGAGGAGTTGTGGTTTGGGATATGTGCACGATAGGGTGAGTGTTGCAAGATCTGAGCAGAGGTGAACTTGATGGGTTAAGCGGCCTTCTCACATGTCTTGCTTTCTTACATGACAACACAACAACAAAATTATCTTTGTATAGCGCCCCTCACATTGGGAGGACATCCCAAGGTTCTGGACAATCAGTGATTCAGACCTGGGGTTTGGGATCGGGGTGGGTAGGGGGGTAGGGGGGAAGGAAGGTGACCAATGGCATGGTCGAAGAGGAGTTTCTTTAGACGGGTCTTGAAGGAGGCAAGGCAGGGGGTGAGGCGGAGGGACTGAAGGATGGAATTCCAGAGGGCGTGGGCTGAGTGGTTAAAGCCCCACCTGCCAATGGTGGGCCGGGCGAAGCGGGGGACATGAAGCAGGCCGGAGCCCGCTGAGTGGAGAGCGCGGGCAGGTTGGTAGGAGGTTAGGCGGTTGCAAAGGTAGGGGGGAACAAGGCCATGGAGGACTTTGAAAGTGAGGACCAGGATCTTGAACTGTATCCTCTGTGATGGGAAGCCAGTGAAGTTGGGTGAGGGTGGGGGTGATAGGGTCATGGAGCCTGGTGTGGGAGAGGACACAGGCTGCAGAGCTCTAGATGATCTGCAGCCTATGGGGGAGGGAGGAGTTGGGGAGGCCCTGTCAAGCACGGAGTTTGAGTAGTTGAGCCTGGATGTTATAAATGCGTGTAGGAGGGTCTTGACGACCTGCAGTGTGAGACAGTGGGGGAGCTGAGCAATGTTGCGGAGTTGGGGAAAGGCAGAGCGGGTCATAATAATAAATAATCCTTGCATTTTGGCAAGTCATGGCATGGATGTGGGGTATGAAGGACAGTTAGAGATTTAAAATGTGATGGTTACAAATTGCAAGTCACTACAAATAATAGCGACTTGAAATTGGAGAAATTCGCTGTGAAGTACAAATAAACAAAACACATAAAAACCCACGGTAAATCCATAATCTTGAAAGCCTTTTGCAGGACACATTTCCAATTTTTTTGTCAGGTAAAAATTGACTTGAAAACAAATCGCCATCCATGGTCGCCAAACCCCTAAGTCTCAGTTGAGTGTATACTTTGTCATTTCAGTGGAGTCCTGTAGCTCAGTGGTTAGAGTACTCGCTTTGCAAGCGAGAGACCTGGGTTTCATTCCCGGCAGGGTGAAACCTTGGGCAAGTTTCCTTACTCCACACGCCTGATAATAATCCCTCAAGAAAATAAAACAATAATAAATTGGTCACTTCAAACCACGACTGTGCACAATTGGCTGCTGAGTTTCACCCACAAATATACAGTCAATTCATTTTACAGTCTATTCTGTGAAGCGCTTTGAGACGTCTAGAAGACGTGAAAAGAGCGACATCAAATGCAAGGATTATCATTATTATTATAATGCTATTAATACTTAATACTCACTGTCTTCCAATGTAGGCAGCTCGTTTACTTCATCATTGATTTGACTAGAAAAAAAATCAAATTGATACTAAGCTTTTCAAAGTGATTTCTTAGAAACTTAAAAGAATTTGAACAAATAAAACAGCATAAAGAAATATCAACATAAGAAAACAATGCAAGGACCCTATACATAAAAAGACCTGAAATTACACTGAGATTTAGCCTGCAAGTACATTTTAGCTTAAAATTTAAGGTCGCACAGAATTATGAATCAGTCATAATTTGGAAATCATTTCTTATTTAGAACTACAGGACACTGCCACCTACATTTTAAGACAAAATGATTTTTACAGGGTAAGACTAGGTGACATATTTTGACTTAAAATGTCAAAAATGTCAAACTGTCTAAAACAATCTCAAGTGATCCAATTTAAATGCTAAAATTCAATGATATTGTTTCTTTAAACCCAATAAACACCATTCAGAAAAGGCTTAAAAAGTAAATATAAAGAGAAAGCCTTAACTCAAATGAGGCTAATGTGGTTTGTGTATTAATTTCTCAAAACAGCTATTTTTGTCATCTTGTGTAAGACTGTTAATGCAGTTGCAATTCCTGAAAAAAATATAGGCACTGTAGTTCTGTGCAGTAGATACAGACAAACCAGCAACTGTCCTGTGACTATCACATTTATTTCAAGTAGAACCTCACAGACAATTAGAAATAGAGAGACTTTTATGAATCAAAACTCAGATGTGCAATTGAAATTGTTTTAAGCACTCTGAGACGTTACTTTACGTGAAGGGTGTTCATAAATACAAGTTGTTGCTGTTGTTCTAAACAGCTGCATCATCTCAATTCCCATAATATTTTTAAATGTTAATTGAAATCAAAATTTCTACAGTATTCCTTCACTATTTCATTATTGTCTAACTGGATGCATGCCTACCCATCCTATGAACTATTGCAAGATACATAATGGAAACCAGTTTCATTAAAATGGGGATGCTAAAGAACTTTTAATAAGTATGAGAAAAATATTTACCTATCTTCTGAGTTGGAGGGTTGAGGTAGTTCCTTTCTATCCTCCTTGACCTGGAATTCAATGTCCCAACAGAGACATTTCCAGTTCTTTTCATATCGGTTAACTTTCTCTTTCTTTTCTTCATAAGTCGGTGCCTCGCGAGTGCCCCACGAAATGTTGTTCATGTTGACCATCGAATAAATAGTTAACAACAAGTATCCACTGGGGATGCAAACAATGTACAGTAGCCCATAGAAGACAATAGAGAACTCCTGGGGATGCAGCATAGCTGTTATAGTGTAAAGGAGAGCTATGGAGATGACAAACAAGCCTGTCGGTGAAATGAACGTATTCGCTTTGACCATGTCACCTAAACAAAGCAGACATCACATTAGCAATTTTACTGGATCTGAAGTTTATCATTTTGGACTGTACAATCTAAATGGTAATGAATAACGGAGATCTTTGAGCGCTGGGATGTTACCCCGAGTGAGGAGTGCTGTGTAAATGGAAGTTGTTGGAGTAGTGATGCTGCAGATATAGTACAAAACCCAAGGAAGTCAAAGAAAGCAAGTGGACAGGGTGTGTTTGAGTATGGCATCAGTTAAAAAAAACTTGCATTTATATAGAAAGAGAGTCCTTCAGGTAGGATTACATCCCAGAGCACTATCCAGTGATGGGGATGACTGCCGACTAAAGAAGTGGGGGGGGGGGTGTAGAGGGGGACGTGACCAAAGCACGGTCAAAGGGGCAATGTTTTAGTCAGGATTTAAAAACAGATAAAGAGGGAAACAATAAGAAATTAATAATGTTTATAATTCTTTTAATGTGATTTTTATCCATCATTGTGATGTTTATAAAACGCCACTAATTTCAACTTGTAATTTTGTTTTGCATCTTTAAATGTCACCTTATTTATACTTCAAAACTGCATCAGAATTATTCATAGATGACTCCTGTGCACCTCCAGTCCATTGAGTATTTAGCTTTCAGGTTATAATTCCATCCTCTATTCTTTTCCCCAATATAAAATGCCTCACATTACAACAACAACGTGCATTCATATAACACTCTTCACGAAGGGTAGCGTTTTGGAGTGCTTGACGGAGTCTGACACCGAGTTGGGGGATGTGACCATAAGCGTTGAAGAAGAAGTTCTTCAGACATGATTAATCTGAAACCAACACTTTGCTAGTGCAAAGAAAACATGTGTCGTGGCCAACTGATCATCTGAAATTGATCACCAATGGGGTAGTTTCTATTATATCTTAAAAGAAAAGCAGCAAAAAACAATCCAGACAGTATAAACACTTTACCCTCACAATAGTTTTCAGAAATCATTATTATATATAAGAGATGATTCTGTTGCCTAAATGCTATCTGTCCATTCTCCTCAAACTGACGGGCCATTTGTTCTATTTAATTAACAAGTCACCATGATATTAATAATTCTCAACTCAGTCACACCCACAATAATAGAAACTGAATACTTATATAGCTACACCCTCTAATAAAGTGTTGGACACATTGGGTGAAGTGAGGGATCAACTGGCAATGAATAGAAAGTTGTAGACGCTTTTCAAAAAGCAAACAATGCAAAGAAGTTATGTGGGTGAACTATTATTTCCAGTTATTATCAAATTGGATCATTGCAATATACCCTAAACTAGGGTAAACATTCCCAAACTCGCCTTGAGATGCCTTCCTGACGTGAGAGGTGCTACACAAATGGAATTTGTTGTTGTCATAAACATACTGTACAGCTGACCCGAGTAAATGTGTCTGCACCAGACTCCCAGGGTGCAGGTCAGAACTGCCGAGGAAAGGATGCCACAGTCCTCCCTTCAACCTTGCTTCAATTGTTCTATCTCTGTGACACTATTGTGATCCAAAGCAACAATTAAGAAGCGAGTTAAAAAAAAACCTGATCAGGCTCAGCTCAAAGAACTAAAGACTTGTAATATTTTACAGTAACTCCCATTACTTACTTTAAGATGTCTTTCTGACATGAAAGGTGTTACATCAAATTCAAGAAATGCTGTTCCTTTATAAAGTCTGTGTATGGAATTCAAATACTCACCTATGATGGACAATAATGTTCCTATCATTAGAAAAGCATAAAATATGCTCAGCACTGCAGCAATATTGATCTGGGTATCTGTCTTCAAATTGTAACACAGCACCAAGAATATAGCTGGAGGAGCGACTCCAAGGACTAGACATACAATTGCATTCCAGTTGAACATGAAAGAAAATGATCCTGTAAAATATGATATCCACATAAGACAAATGTTAATTCACTCAGAATTGAAAGGAACAATTAAAGGCATTTTTCTAATCGTTGGTAAATTTACTGAACAATGAGGATGCCCTTTCCTCTACAATATGGTGTGCAAACACATCACAAACAATTACTTGCTATAATATGGTATAGATATACACTACAAACAATTACCTGCTATCATTAGAATGACAGTCGCAGGGCCCAAAATGGAAGCTGCTGTTGAAATTATTAGGTACAGGATGTAGAGTTTGGAAATGGAAGAATTCTTCCTGGATGTCTGCGCTCCGCTATTCAGAAGTTCGATTGTGTTTGCCAAAGTTGATGGACCCCAACGGCGTCTCTGGTTGTAAAACTCCTTGAATTCTTGTGGTGCATTTGTGTACGCATCTGAGGCTGCGTTATATTCTACACGCCAGCCTTGCTGTAATAATAAAGTACACAGCCAACGGTCTTCCCCTGTTGGAATTGATTGAAACGTATCAGTCTTAAGCAATGTTACATTTCATAATGTGAAGTAAATACCTAACTCAATTTTGATAAATAATTAAATATGTTGAAAAGTATATTCATCATAGATGCTAGTCTGGCTAGTTAGTTGTATTCTCACCTTTGAACAGAGGGTTGTCAGATAAAACCCAAAGTAAAGACCTTGAGCTCATAGTCTAAGCTGACACTTCAGAGTAGTGCTGGGGAAGCACTGTATTGTAAGAAGTGCTGTCCTTCAGATGAGACGTAAAACTAAAACTAAGGTCCCATCTGTCTATTGAGGTGGACATCAAAGATCCCATGAACTATTTGGAAAGAGAAGGGAGTTTCTCCGGGTGCCCTGGCCAACAATCCTCTAGATAAACTTGATTATTCATTTCAAGGCTGTTTGTGGGACATTGCTGTTTGCAAATTGGCTACCATGTTTGCTTACAAAATATGCAAACATTACATTTTACAGAAAAACTCTGAAGTTCTTTGAGATGTTTTGATGTTATATGTACTATCAAATACAAGGAGTATTATGCTGTTGAAAGAGCCACTTGATACAGCAAGCTTTTAGTTTGTATACAAAGGTATCAAATTCAATACATATAGGCTGTTTGGTAAATTCAATACATTTTGGCTGTTTGTGAGCATAGCTGTGCAAATTGGCTACTGCATTTGCCCACAAATTGCACTTTCCTGTGAAGCACTTTGGGACGTCCTCACAACATGAAAAGCGCAATACCAAATGTAAGTATTATTATTATAATTAACTTTTGATTCCATTTGATTGTACATTTGTGCCTGTGCAATCGTTATCACTTTGTGAGACCAATGACAGTAATAATAATACTACTACTAATAATAATCCTTGCATTTGATATAGCGCTTTTCATATCTTCTCGACGTCTCAAAGCGCTTCATAGAATAGACAGTAAAGTGAATTGAACGTATATTTGTGGGCGAAACGCGGCAGCCAATTGCGCACAGCAGTGTCCCACAAACAGTCGTGGATTGAAAATGACCAACTTATTATTGTTTTTTGTTTTGGAGTGATTATTATTAGGCGTGTGGAGTAAGGAAACTTGCCCAAGGTTTCGCCCTGCCTGGAATTGAACCCAAGTGTCTCGCTTGCAAGGCAAGTGCTCTAACCACTGAGCTACAGGACTCCACCTGTTCCACTAATGGAAACTTTCACAGTTTCTTCTCAGTTTCCCAGACTTTGGTTTATAAATTTATTTTTTCCCAGTGGAGTTTCATTTGTTCACAAGGAGATGACCCTTGAAAGATATTGTTTCTGGATATTTATTATTTATGGTCAAAAAGGGAATACAATAGTTGATATTTGTTCCATATTTTTCAAATAAACCAAATAATCATAACCACCCACAAGTATACACAGTCACACCACTTTAAGTATACCTTTGAAGCTCTATGATGATGTGATAAGGCACCATAATGCAAGGAATATTATTATTATTGTAATAAATAGCATTCATTCAACCTTGTTCTTACCATGCAAGCAAAATGGTAATAAATGATGGTAAATATGTATTTACTTTACCTTGATCATACTGTATATAGTTGAATGCTTCAGTAGATTTGGTGGTGTACCTTTTGACCACGTTATCATCCATTAACGCTGCTGCCCTGAATAGACTGAAGCATCCTGGACTGCAGAGCACACAGCCCAGCACATGTTCAGCTGTCTTCTGTAACCAGTGACCAATGGCATACTCAAACTTCTGGTACCAGACCATGGGGCCTAAAATGGAGTAAAACCGTATGTCCTGTATTGTTGTGTAACAACTATAACCAAACTGTTTATCATTTTGTAAATTAGAAAACTTTCAGCAAACTTTCAGGCAATCTGTTCTCTGGAACTCCATCCCAGAGTTTCCCTCCCTTCTGGTCTTCAAAACCTGCCTTAACGCTTATATTTCTTTGTTTGCCTTCAGCCCCATTCACTATACTCTACAATTAATCTTGTGAAGCACTTTGAGATTTCCTCCTGACGTGAAAGGCGCTACATGAAATTCAAGTAATAATCCTTGCATTTGATATAATGCCTTATCACATTTTTGAGACGTCTCAAAGTGCTTCACAGAATATACTGTAAAATGAATTGTCCACATATTTTGTGGATGAAACACGACAGCCAATTGTGCACAGCAGTGTCATTAATTGAGCAGCCAGTTGTGGATTGAGTGACCAAATTATTATTTATTTATTATTTTTGAAGGGATTATTAACCCCAAACAACTAGCAACCAAGTTCCTATTTACTGCTATGTAAACAGAGGCACGTGAAGTATTATTAATAATTCAAACCCCAAATTCATTTTGCCCTGTACATTTGCTTTTCTGTTTAAATGCTTAATTATGAAGTGCAGATATCTAATTATAGCTAATAAAGCGGCAGTAAAAAATTGTGAAATGAATTACTTACCAGTGCCTGTAGGATGTATTCTACCACATGCAGCCCCTACATGTGGATATCTTCTAAGTCTGTCAACAAGCAAGATCACAGATGAGGGCTGGAAGTCAGTGTCGCCATCGAGAGCCAGGATATAAGTGTTTTGCTTTTCAGTCTTTTAAATAGGATTACAAAGAAATGTTTACATTCTTGAGTGGACAGGTAGATGTAGAAATTAAAGCATTTTTGTCCATAAAATACACAGTCAATCCACTTTACAGTATAACCTATGAAGCGTTTTGAGACGCCTCAATGACACGAAAAGACGCTATATGAGATGCAACGATTATTATTATTCCTTACCTCTAAAGAATTTGTAATATTTGTTTCCTCTTCAAATTTGCCTGATAAGGTTAAATATTTCCGATTTAACTTCCACCCTAGCAGGTAGTACAGGTACATGATCTGGAAAAAGAACATTATGTGATGTAGCAACAGGATTTCCAATGCGTTCAGAAACTTATGGGGAAAAACTCCGTTGGGCCCTTGGTCATGTGCAACTGCAACAGGAAATCCCATAAAAGGCCGACATTACAAAGGCAATGTGCCAATCTGACACTTAGCAGAATTTTTCCCCATTAATATGTAGCATTTTTTATTATTGTTATGAAACTCATAGAATTTATATTATTCACAGTGCATGAATTTGACACCCTTACCTTTAATGTGAAATACACATCGTTATTTGGGGTGGTTCAGGCTTCCAGTTCAGAGATTATAGATATTTTGATATTCACTAGCATCTTGTATGACACTATCGTCTTGCTTTTGTTTTCAATGCACCTATATTTAAAACTTAGAATTTCATGTCCACCTCATGTGAAAGGGGCAGGAAGATGGGACCAAACAGAAAGCTCTTTTAAAGAGTGCACTGGCACCTTGGCCCGAATGGCCATTTACTTTGCAGTAAATTTCTATGATTCTACTTTATATCCCCAATAACCAGCATGGGAATATTCAGGGATTACTTGTAAACATGGGTGAATTCCTATTAAAAAGATGCTCAGCACTTAGAAATATGGGTTTAGCATTAGATGCTGTCATCATCCTTGCCCTACAAACACTGATAAGTCACTGAGGCCATATAAATTATCGAAGATGATAGATGCCTACATAGCACTAAGTTTTAGGCCTCCCTAACAACATGAATTGATCACATTTGCATTAGAAGTCCAGGAATAATAAAATCTACCTTCATGGCTGTAGCTCCAGCCACAGGTACAACCCACTGACCCACCTTCCAACACGAGACATAGAAATTGATAGCATCCGTAAGGATATTGAAGAGTTAAACTGCCGTGCACTTTACAAGTCCCTTAACAAAATAGCGAAAGTTTGGATATTAGAATTTGAATCAACATTGCCAAACTTGGATCATCTCAGAATTAGACGCGAAAGGTGCTCTTCAAATGTAAATTGCATTGTATTGTAAGGCACGGTATCTAAATCTCTCTAAATCCTATGGCTGAGTATGCCTGATAGTCTATCTTTCAGTGCACATGGTAATCAACAGCTGGACATGTAAAATAATGGCTGTGATCTTTATTGATAGGTGATTAGTTAGGATAATATTGGTTGAATCACTTACACAATTCAACAATACTGCATTGAAAAATGTTATCTCCTATATCTTTACTACTAGAGTGCTTTTTCTTCATAACAACACACCGTTAAGGAAAAGACTTATTAGCTGCATCTAGTTGTTTGACATGATAGTCACACCTCGTAATTCGAAACTGTTAAAAACTATCCTGCAAAAGTTTTATAGCATGGGATTATGTAATATGAAGGAATTGATGAGTGCTGAGAATGTAAAGGATTTAAAATTATGGACACATCCCTGTGGTTTTAGATTATTTAACCAGATTAAAATAGGAATGCAGTATGGTACACTTTGATATAGTGCTGCTGTTATGTTTATTTTTATATTAGTAATGTCTTATTGAAGAATATGATTAAATAGTACTTCTTACTGTTTTCTGGGGTACTCTATTCCCCTTACTAAAATGCAAAGAAGTTGATGACATGTCCGAGACTATCCTCCTCCCTTTCCTAAATTTAGTTTAGTTCCCGCCCCAGCTCAGGTGCCAAGCTGGTGTTGCTAAATGCCTCGAGACGTCTTTCAGACATGGTAAGGGGCTATACCAAATGCAAGGAATATTATTATTATTATACAATCAAACTTATATTGAACAACCACTCAAGGGACTGGCCGAAGTGGCTTTTATATAAGGGTGGCCTCTGAGTAAACGTTTGTTGGTGTGCGAACCAGGCTATTTGGGATGTTCCAGGGTGGTTGTTAACAGAGGGTGGTTGCTAAATGGAGGTGGTTGCTTGAACAGATTTGATTGTATTTTTCATTCCTTATCTTTACCTATTAGGCAGGATTTCTGCTTCATACCTATATTTTTTAAATTCAAGTGGCATTTTATCATTTCAATGTTACATTAATCATTCAAACATACCTGAGACCATCTCTTCTTGTGTCTGATTTTGTCCTTATCCTTCAGATGAACATGCAACATATTTCCACTTGGAAGTGTGTAAGAGATTCTTCCACCATAAGGTGTTTCCATTATAGTTTGTTTGATATCATCCTCATCATCTTCTAATGTCTGATCCACAGATGTTTGGCTTTCACCAGAAAATATCCTGCAGAGCAAAATGTTTAATTCCATGAGGTAACTCCAGAAGCTACCATTTATCCTAGGCTGCAAGATCCTTCAAGGACGTTCAGGGTCCTTCTCTAAACATACCTCTTTGACCGTGTTTTTGGTCATCTTTACCCTTCTCACCCCCTTCACCTTCCATCCCCAGCTCAGGTGCCCAACCAACAGTCTCGAGCATTTTGCAATGTCCTCCCAAAGTTAAATGCATTATATAAATGTTAATTGTAGTTGTGTCCTTTTCCTCAACAGTGTGAAAGATTGATTAGCTTCTGTACATTAGCTCATGATGATGGCACAATCTTAACTTTTCAACTGAATATATCAGTTCAGCTTCCTCACATTTTCAGCATCAGTGATTCCTTCCCACAACTGACCCCTCTCATGATTAATGCCGTATGTCCTAAGACTATTCCACTACCCTGATGAAATGCAGTGAATATGTTGACAAGCTCTAGAATAGATATTACTTAACTACAAAAAATCCAGCAAGTGAACGATCATTTGCAGCTTATAATATGAATTTCATTCCTTTTAACTAATTTCTTTTAACAAAAAAGAGAGATTTTGATATTTTTAGAACATCTCATCATTTTGAAACACACTTCACAAGTATTTATTGTCAAATGTTATGACTTTTTTGTAGGCAAATCTTGCAGTCACTTTTGCACAAGTGAGGTCTCACAAACAACCTTGAGCTGAATGACAAATAAATCCAGAAGATTACTGTCCAGGACATTGGGAGAAATTTCCTTTCAAAAAGTGTCATGGGTTCACAGAGCTACATAGATGAGAAAGATGGGAAAGAGTGAGAAAAGGCACAGAGGCCTATCAAGTTTGCTCCTGAGATACACTTCATCCTAATATGGACATCACATTGCAGTGTATTCAGAATGTCCACTTAATGGAATAATGTTCAAGTACCTGAAAACTTCATCGATTGTGCAAACAAGGTTCTTCACGTAATCATTCACAATCCTTTCCTGTTTATTTTCCTGTGGTTTGAAGCCCATCTGGAAAGCGTCATCAAAATAAATGTGTGCTTCGAAATCAAAGTTATCTTTGTGTGATTTTAACAAGCTTGGCTTGTACTTGTCCAGCCTGCAAGAAACAACATCAGCTAAACAATGTTTTCCTAATAAGAGTATATGATGATGATGACGTTACATCAATTATTATATTCTCTTCATGAATGTAACCATAGGTTCTGTGTTTGTGTGAACTTGCTTCATTTCTTAATAGGATTTTTTGATTTAAAAGAATCCCTATTGGAAATTCTGTTGAGTCATGCCGACAAAGAGATTGGGTCAGAACATAATTCCTGCAGCTGCTCGACACGATGTGCTTTCAAAAGGATGCATTTATTAGGATGCAGTTTCCTTATTCAGGAATCCATGTAAGAAGTACAGCAAATTAGCTCCAATTATTTAGATGCCCGGTGTTGGCAAGTCAGTGTTGATTCAGTACTAGTCAATACTAATCTAATTTGTGGTGCATTTTAACAGAATAAAGAATTGGAATGTGGAACTGGAAAGAAAACCCATTTTTGCAATTCAGAGTTGCAATTAAGGAATCATGTTAAGAAATAATATTCCCCCTTCTGCTTTGTATCGTATTTTGTTCATTAATACTGTATATATCTTTTTCATTGATGGAAATGGCACAGAGATTTTGATGGACATTTCCATGAACCCTCTTTCCGCCTTCCTCCCTCATCAATTATATATATTATAGGTGTGAATAGGAACTCCCATATATATATATATATATATTCCCAGCAGTGGTACGAACAACTTCTGTCTTTCTTTTCCCCCTCCTGAAAAATGCATTCCTGCATTTAAATTCAAGGCCTCTAGCTCTGAACCCAGCATTTCATTTGCCCTGACAATGTCTCTCTGCTCCTCTGCACTAGCCTTCATGGATTCACTGGCATCCCAAGTATAATTTAAAGAAATGGAAAAAATGATAATCTGCGGATTATTCTTGGTTATCTGTAAATTTATTATCCTTGGCTTTGTGCACTTACAATAGGAACTCATTCTAAGCACACACTACCACAGTTGGTAAATTTATCAATAAACAGGGAATTCCCCACATGGCGTAAGACAATGACAACTTTTCAACGGCAGTAACAACAACAACAACCAAATGCATTTATATCACACCTTTCACATCAGAAGGACGTCCCAAGACACCAGACAGTTGTGGGTTTGGGGCAGAACTGTCGGTTAGATTTAGGAGGGGAGAAAGCCAAGGTGATGAGGGATGAGAAGATGACCAATGTCCGGTCAAAGAGGAAGGTCTTCATTTAAATTTTAATTCAGACAGATCTTGAGGGAGGAAAGGGAAGGGAGCGAGGCAAAGTGTCTCAGGGAATTAGTTCCAGAGAGGAGGCTGGCGGCTGAAAGAAGGATGTTCATTAGGCTAGTGCCTGCCAAATGGAGGGAGCGTAAAGTTTAAGAATGTTGACTAAGCAAGTAATTAAATTGAACTCTGTTTATTAATCCTGTGTTAACATCCTCCTGACGTGAAAGGCGCTATACAAATGTATTTTTGCTGTTGTTAACAGCAGTACTGTGGAATGTACAAGCATATAATTTACAGGTATGAATAGCAACTCCCGTTTGCCCTTTTTGCAGAGATAATCTTATACTATTTGATTTACCTGAACATTGAAGTAAGGATCTTTCTCATTTCCTCCACTGTTTCATGCCACATTGTTGCACATAAGTATATCATAACATGTTGCGATCTGCTTTTGGAAAATAAATGTCACAGGCTGTTAGAAAATAATACAATACAAAATTACATTTGTAAAGCGCCTTTAACATCGGAATTTTTATACAATCTTAACAAGTGTTAAGACAAAACAATCTTAAAGGGAATTCCATTAAGAGATATCACAAACTAGAACTCTCATAATACAGTACAGTACCGTTTAAAATTGCTGTGACTGTGATACTTTTTCTTCTCGACCCGCGTGTTGAGCAGCATTGATTGTTCCATGAAGGCCGCTTCATATAACCGACGAACAAAGAGCTGAGTTGTTCTTTCAATCCTTTGAAGGCTACGTTCCCATACATAGAATGTTGAAAAAAGGAGCCCTAGCCAAAAGCTCAATCCTGAAAATCCAATTAGTGCTAAGCCACTGTTGCCCTGATCTAAAATTACACCTGTCCTACAAAGGCTGTGAGAGACTTCCAATAGTAGAATTTGTGTAGGATTACTGTTTTTATCAAATGTTAAAGCATTGCACAGTGATGTCAGGTTAAAACTTCCTCCCAGACCGGATTCCCTGTAAGTGCTGTCCAATACAATCAAGAAGGAGAAAAATACTATAGGTGTTGTTAACAAGGAAGGGATGATGAAACCGCGCCTGATTGCATGCATTTTGCACACAATGACCCCAAACCAGTGACAAAGTGCCGAAGAAATCCCCTGCATCGCGAACAAGCTCAAGATAATTTTGGATTGAAATGGTGAAACAGCCGTAAGATGATTCCAATTGTATTTCTTGACTGGGATCATCACTCCCACTACCAAACCAGTCACTAGTATTCTAATAAAGTTAGTGCACAGATTTGTGATGCTCTGGGAATGCCTCAACTTTTCTTTTACATTTTCCACAAATTCACTTTTACAGTAGGAGGTGAAATTTTCCCACCAGTTCAAAGATACTAGCATTAAGAAAACTATTGTGAGACCCACATACACTTGAATCTCATCTGTTTTCCCTGAAATCTCCTGTTGCCAGTGTGCTGTCACAAAGAGCACGAAACCTAGGAATACAAAGCCAAAAGCTGCTATTGGAAAGAATATAGAAGGTTTAAATGGTTTCAGCTGAAAAACTATTTGCAGAATGGACGGCAGAAAGCAAACACCACTTAAAATGTGCAGATTGGTTAGTATGTCAAAGTGAGGCATGGAGACAAGAATCAGCAGGGACGTTCCTAATGCCACAATTCCCTCAATCACACAAACCTGAAAAAAAGAGGAAGGAACAGTTTAGTTAGATTTAATGGATTGTACAGCACAGAAACAGACCATTCGGCCCAATGAATCCATACCGTTTTTTATACCCCACATGAGTTTCCATCCACTCAAAACAAAAACAACAACAACCTGCATTTTTATAGCGCCCCTCATAATAATAATAATAATCCTTGCATTTCATATAGCGCTTTTCATGTCGGGAGGACGTCCCAAAGCGCTTCACAGAACACACTATAAAGTGAATTGACTGTATATTTGTGGGCGAACGCGGCAGCCAATTGCGCACAGCAATGTCCCACAAACAGTTGTAGATTGAAAATGACCAATTTATTATTGTTTTTAGTTTTTGGAGGGATTATTATTAGGCGTGTGGAGTAAGGAAACTTGCCCAAGGTTTCGCCCTGTGCCTGGAATTGAACTCAGGTCTCTCACTTGCAAAGCGAGTGCTTTAACCACCTAGCTACAGGACTCCACACTCATGCAAGGTAGCGTCCCAGCATGACCCTTACTTCCTCCCATGCCCTTCCATTCCCCTCTCCCTAAAGGTACCATATTGTGTTGAAAAAGCTCAAATAACTTCAGAAGTAGGAAGCAAAGAATAGATCAAAAAAACAAGGTCAAATTTGTAGAAAATTGCTCCATGTCTTATTTAAATATTGGTGAAACAACCTTTTCCAGTTAAATGGTTTGTTCACCTCAAGTCCCAGTGACCTGAAGCAAGTTTTTTTTGTAGGTTTTAGGCTCTAAGTTCTTATTTTTGTTAACAGTCATTTCTCATGCTGGAACTGGAAAGAAACCCTGAGGAGGGCAGAAATCCCCACTCCCAGGCAGGCTCAGGGTCTTGAGTCCAACTGATAGATGTTAAAACAGTTCCAAACTTCTTCCTGAATGAGTGCAGTATCCTGATTTCAACCAGTGTCCTGACCTCCTCCTGTTATCTGTTGATTATTCCCTATGTAAACAAATATTTCCTAGTGTATATGAAACTTGGTCTTCACAACCCTGAACTTGACTCCTCTAGCCACCTTTGGCATAACTGAACCTATTATCCTGGGTTTGCTTCTTCTATCCCTTTTGTCTCATGATCCTCTTACCTCTAGACATCTCTTGCCAGTGATGAAAACCTTGAGCTATCCTCCACTAGTTAGTAATAGTGACCATGGAACAGTGTAAGCTTATTTCCCATTTGCGACATGCTGTCTCAATGCTCTCATGAAGATCTGTAGTTCTGAGATTTACCCACTTTTAGCCTGTAAGATCATTCTATCTTAGACAAGGTTGGTAAAGTCTACCCATCAGCAGTGAATTACCTTTAACCGGATAAATTCCCATCTCACTCTAACCCACTCCAATTTCCATCCTGAAAAGTAATATTCATTCCTCACTTTTCTCCAGCCAGTCCCCACCAATTTATCACCAAGGTTTCATTTTTTAAAATGAAAAAAAACTGTGAAGGAAATAACCATGTTGAAAATAAATAACTTGAATTGTACGTGATGTGCTTACCGTTAAAAGAATACTCAGAGGGGGCATGTGTGATGACCCAAAGGATGTTTTCCACAGAGCTTTTGCAAAAGCCAATACATTAGGCACCAATATTGTACATGCTAAGATGAGGTAATTGAAAGGTTTATTTGCAAAATGCTGTTGTGAATGTTCACTTGATGTACTGATCAAAAGAAGAAGACTGGTCTGGAAAACAGAACATTGTACACTCTTCAAAAACACTCATAACACACTTTGATATTGCAGCAAGTAACAGAAGGGTGACTTCTATCAGTACAGTATAACATTACAATATTATTAGCCACGGTAATCTTAGAAAGAGTCGCACATTTGATCTCTGAGTTATAAACTGTGATTCCTGCCAGTGCGTACCTTATGCCAGCTTGAAAAAAAAATCCCATCTAACTCATTCTACTTTAATGCAGGTGTGGCATAATCCAATTACTGTCCAAAGTCACTCTGTACAAATTCTGCCATAAATATTAGGCCTGAAATTCCACCTCATCTTAGCCTGTAAGACTATTTTATCTGGCGTATTATTGATTAGGACACCGGGAGGAACACCCTTCTCTATTCAAATAATGCCCTGGGATCTTTAACGTCAATCTTTAATGTCTCATAAATTAAGACTGAAATGAAAACAGAATTCACAATTCTATCCACAAAGATAGAATAATCTTATAGGCTAAGACTGGGAAAATTTCAGAACTACAGATCTTCTTGAGAGCACTGAGATAGCATCATCACTCCTTTTCTTAAAAAACCTGCCCTGGACCCATCCCTGCTCTCAAATTACCGCCCCATCTCCAACCTCCCTATCCTTTCTCAAGGTCCTAGAATGAGTCATTGCTTTTCAGCTTCCCTCCTTCCTCTCTCATCATTCCCTTCACGAAGCTCTCCAATCGGATTCCCATGCTGCCCACAACACAGAAATAGCTTTGGTCAAAGTGATAAATGACATTTTGTCCATGTGTGACCAAGGCTCCCTCTGCCTCCTCATCTTCTCTGCTGCCTTCAATACCATTGACCACTCCATCCTTCTCCACCCCCTCTCCTCTCACTTCATTGTTCTGTCCTTCAGTGGTTCAGATCCTACCTTGCACACCGTCTCCACTTCATCTCCACAAATGGTTTCTCCTCAACCTCCACACAGTCTCGTGCAGCATTCCTCAGGCTCTGTCCTTGCTCCCCTCCTCTTCAATATCTACATGCTCCCTCTTGGTGACATCATCCGCAGACATGGGGTCAACTTCCACATGTGTGCGGATGATACCGGATTGTATCTCCCTGCCTCCACTCTCCACTCAAGTACCACTTGAGACACTCAAGTACACACTATCAAATATCAAGTCCTGGATGAGAGTTAACTTTCTACAGCTGAACTTCAACAAGATCAAAGCTCTCCTGATTGGCGCCCGTCAGCACCTCCACACCTTAGGCACCGACAGCATCACCATCCAGGAATGCACACTCCACCTCACCAACCCAGTCCGGAACCTTAGAGTCTTGTTTGATGCTCAATTGTCCTTTCTACCCTACATCCGTGCCACAACCCAATCTGCCTTCCCCCACCTCTGCAACATCATCTGGCTCCGTCACTGCCTCACCTCACAGGCCACCGAAACTCTCATCCACGTATTCATCACATCTAGGCTCGACTACACCAACTCCCTGCTTGTCAACTTTCCCAACACTTCCCTCCCCAAGCTGTAGATCATTCAGAACACTGCAGCTCGTGTCCTCTCCCGCACCAGGCTCCACGACTCCATCACCTCCCACCCTCGCCCAGCTCCACTGGCTCCGTATTCCCCAGATGATAGAGTTCAGAATCCCTGTCCTCGCCTTCAAGGTTCTCCACAGCCTTGATCTCCCTGACTCTGCGAACTGCTGACCCCATATCAACCTGTCCGCTCCCTCCGCTCAGCAGGCTTTGGCCTGCTCCATGTCCCCTTCTCTTCCCGCTTCACCACCAGTGGTTGGGCCTTCTACCTTTCTGCCCCCACCCTATGGAACACCATCCCACATTCCCTTCACCTCGTTCCCTCCCTTGCCTCCTTCAAGGCGGGTCCCAAAACTCTCCTCTTTGACCAAGCCTCCAGCTACTCTCCCTTACCCTCCACCCTCCCCGATCCTGACTCCCAGCTCGGGTCCAAATCCCTGACTGTTCAGCACCTTGGGACATCCTCCCAACATGAAAGGAGCTTTACAAATGTAATTTTTTATTGTATTGTATGCTATTTCACTAAAATACGTGAACACAGGTTTGACCAGCCATCCTTTCCTTGACAGTGCGAGTGTGCAAAAGGGAAGCCTTCAGGGACATATTCTTCCCAGAAGAGCACTGGGGTACTGTGGAAACAGACAAAACAGTGATAATCTTCCCTTCGTAACAAGAAGTGGGGGATAGGTGGGTCTTGAGTTATTGTCTAAGGGCAGGAATAATTGGATTTGCCATTTGTCTGAGTTAAACTCTTCTGATACGTTTCTAATTGTAGATTTTGAAGATTAATAGTTTGAAGATGTAATAATAACAACAATAATCCTTAATTTGTTTATATATACCTTTTATGTCAAAAGAAACATATTGAAGCACTTCACAGTATGTACTGTAAATGACATATACTGTATAAAAATAATGCAAAGAGGGTGAGTACTCTGGAAGGATCAGAGCAAATAGGCTGAAAGGCCATTTTGATTCAAGGTGTTGGATAACTTGCCTTGGAAATTATCTACATGCCATTTATTATAGTTATTTGAATTCTAAAGCACAGGGAGATTTTAGACAGATTGGGACGAGAGGGGGCAAGAGATTTGATTGCAGTTCTAAGGCACAATCAATTCAAATGTGCTCACTGATTTTGGAGGTACTAATGAAAAAATCTGTGCCTTAGGTTTGTATAAATAGGTACTTGGGGAAGAATTGTTACATTAACTATCCTCTCTTTCCTGATTTTTAAAACATTTATATTATTCATATAAAATGAGGCTCATCGACTTTGCACCAGCTCCCAGAGCAAGGTGTTTGTTCAATTCCACTGATCTGCCTTATCCTCATACTCTTCAAGCCACTACATTTCTTATACATGTCTAGTATATATAAACCATTGACTTTATTTCTTAAAAATGTTACTGACCTTGCTGAGAAACGCAAACCCAAACAGGAAAATTCCAAAGAGAAAACAGATGAGGTATTGCAGGAACACCACAAACTTTTTTGTGGTTTCTTCTTCATCATCTATTGTTTTTAATAGAAAAGCATCCCACGTTTTCCTGAAACTGAATCAAAATATACGGTTTTGCATAACTTTTCACAAAAATGTGAAGGATTATTCATGTTCTGTTTAACATTATTTACAATAATGATAACCCTTGCATTAGAAATTGTGCCTTTCACCTCTGGAAAGCCATTCACAGGATATGTTGTAAAGCATAATGACAGTGTATTTTGTAGGCAAATACAGTAGCCAATATGCAAGCAGCAATGTCCCACAAATAGCCATGAAATGAAAGACCATTGTTTTTTAAAAGTTTGGGGAATTATTGGCCAGGACAGAAGAAACTCTTTTCTTTCCAAATAGTGTCATGGGATCTTTAACATCATCTTAATCAGGCAGACAGAACCTTGGTTTAATGTCTCATCTGAAGGACAGTGCCTACAACAATATTGCATTGGAGTGTCAGCCTAAACTGTAGTTCAAAGTCTCGTTTTTTGAACCTTCTGACTTAAAGATGAGAATGTTACCGAGTGAACCAGGCTGACAATGAAAATGATATTTTCCTTTTTTGAGTTTAAAGTTTAACAACAACTTGCATTTGTACACAGCAACTCACATTGTTTGTAGAATGGACCTCCTAAATACTTTGCAAGGATGATGAGGAATCACCAAGTAAGATGGAAAACAGTCAAATAGAGAGATAGGGAGAGAAGGTTTAAGGCAAAGGGAGCATTTCAGAGAGTGGGACATAGGTGGAGAAATTTCATCTGGGTTTACATTATACAATATTTGTAACATTTCAGTGACCAGAATTTGGCAAATTGCTCAATAACTTAAAATAACTTACAGAAAAACAGCTTCAAAATTAAGACTGCATTTAAAAATTTGCCAAATTATGAACAATCAGAAATGCTAGATGAAAAGAATAAATAGACCCAGATTTCTTACCCCGAACAGCTGAAGGCTCAGTCACTGATGATGGAAAGGAGGGAATAAGACAAATTAAATTCAATCAGAGTTAGAAAGCCAGACACCACAGACAGCAGAATTGCGCTGGAGGAGATTGTAAAGGTAAGGACAGAACAGATCAAGAACATTTAAAAAAACCAACAAATCGCTTAGGTTACAAAATGTTCTAACACTGTATTTTTATTTTAACAGATTACATACATTGAGATACAGATCAGCTGAACTGTAGCAATAAGCTGAACATTATTAATCATAAATGTTATACTGATATATATTATATAATATTATTTAGTAATATATCCAGTTTAACAAACTGCATAACATTTATAAATTTATAAATAAATCAAGCTAACTCTATCATAAAAGTAAGACAGGTAGAATGAGAAAAGGCCTTTCCAGCCACCAGGCTCACTCCTTCCCCAACCCTGTTTAATAATCTCTCCAAAACAAAACAATAATAAATTGGTCATTTTCAATCCACGACTGTTTGTGGGACACTGCTGTGCGCAATTGGCTTCCGCGTTTTGCCCACAAATATACGGTCAATTGACTTTATAGTCTATTCTGTGAAGCACTTTGAGACATCGAGAAGACGTGAAAAGCACTATATCAAATGCAAGGATTATTATTATTATATTATTATAGTCAATCTGTAACATGCCTACAAATACAGTTACTACACATTACAGAAAATTTTCACTTTGAGATGTTTTGCACTATAAGAAGTGCAAAAATTATTATTATTATAAACACTCAGCTCCATAACCATATTTATGTCTTTAATACCCTGCTAACAGAAGCACTAGTGCTTATTCTTCTCATTCTGTTCAAGGTAACCATTAAAGAAGTTCAACATCTATAATCCATCTTTTATTTAACTTGCTACAAAATTATGGAGATGCATTATTACTAAAGGAGTTAAGGAGTTAAATAAAGAAGTATAATATGTAATGCTGAATACTAAAATTCAAACTATTTTTACGTTTCCAGAATTATATTTTTAATGAAAGGACAAATAGTTTGTACTCCTCTATCAATTTTTTAAGTGACTGAACTGTAGATTTAATCAGCCAGTCTTTTATTCAAGTTCACCTTTAATACTACAGTACTCCAAAATTAATCTACAAATTTTTCATAAAAAGGCAGGATAGGCTCAAACGAATAACAGATTCGGGGATATTATTTACAGATATCAATCTTTCTCTATAAATTTATTTAAATAAACTAATATAATACAGAAACTCTCAATTAAAATAAAATGGTCTACCTGTTCCGTCGCAGTCTTTTGAATTCAATGCTCTCTTGATCCATACCTCTGGTTACTTTTCAAAAGTTAGTGGAATATCTTTGCAACAAGTGTATTCATATATATATATTGAATGCCGGCTTTGTCTTTGTAGGTGCAGCCTTGCAATTTACAAAGTTACACCCATCAGATAACTGGCCCGGGGAAAAGACGCATTTTGACAATTCAATACCAATCATTATTCTAAGAGTTGTATGCAAATTTTACTGACTACCGTATTCCTAAGAACCTCCAAATTAGAATAATTAAAAAAAAGAAATAAAATTCCATTCTTAATATGTGGCAATCAAATTTTCCAACTAATGCCTGTGACAAAATTGGCAGCGAAGCCAAAAGATTTTCTTGGTTAATGGTGTATTAAGTAACACACTCAATTCAAGCAAGTTCCGTCACATTCCCAGTGTAAAATCAAAGTATGAAAAGAAATTGAGTCCAAAGTGCTCAAGCGCTGGGAAATGAATTCACTCAACGAGACAGGGTGAATTCCATGAGTTTTTCTAAAACTATTGGATAGTTGATGGTGATCTTTCCACAACTGGTGACGCAACTGCTATTAGACAGCTAGAAATGGTGGAAATAAAGGATAATCAAATACTTTGAGGAAGTGACATTCCAAGTTGGTTGTAGGAAGCCATATGACCTTGTAATGTAACTAGACATCCAGTAGGCGTTTTGACAAAGTACCACATAAAGACTGCTTCACAAACTGAAATCACTGGGGATTACTTACAAACACACAGTCACTACAATTCACAGTAAAATCATGTGAAGCATTTGAAAAGTCTCAACATGGTGAGGTCCTATAGTAAATATAAAAATTATTTTTATAATTATTATATCAAAGGATTGACATTGACTAGACTTCAAAGTTGGATGATGAAAGGAAGCAGTGGGCAATCCAGAAGAGCTAGGTCAAAAGATGGGGAGGGATTAAAAAGGGTGCCTCAGGGCTCCATACAGGGACCCTTTCTGCTCCTGTCATACGTTAATGTTCTGGATTCACAGCAGTTAAATTTGCAGATGACACCAAGTTTGGAGGAAACTGTGGAATCAGAAGAGGCACAGACAGCTTGAGGAATATGCACATAGGCCGATAGCTGGGAAATTAAGTTTAATACAGATAAATGCAAGTTACTACATATAGGAAGTAAGAATAAGAAACAAACTTGCAATACAATGGAATTTACATTTATGCAGTGTCTTTCACTTCAGGAAGACATCTCAAAGCTCTTGAAAATACTATTCCTTGGGATGGGATAGAACTTGCCAAAGAGGAAAGTTGAAAGAAATCCAGCAATCTTAGTTGATTCATTGTTCGTCATGTTAAAACAGTGTGATGCAGCAATAAACAAGGCAAAAAGGATTCTGGGCTATATTGTCAAATCAGTCGGTTTCAGTTCCTCAAAGGTTATACCTAAATTATGTTGTGCTCTGGTCAGTTGACACCCAAAGTACTAGATAATGTTCTGATTGCCAACCCCAGAAACAATCAGAACAAAGAAAGGGGCTGATACCCATTGTTCAAGGAATGAGTCCTGAGCAGTGATTAAATGAGGTATTGAAAAAGGTTGTATCTCTTAGGATCTTACAGAATTATATAAGAATTTAAATTATATCCTGGCCTTGTCCCTGGAATTAAAATTCAAACCCAATATATTCAGTTACCCAATACAATAGTTCAAGAGAACAGGTTAGAGCATTTTTGTTTTAACCTGTTCAAAGCCCTCAATGGCTTTGCTTCCCCCTACCTCTCTGACCCCCTAACTCCCTACCAACCTGTCTCTGCTCCCTCCACTCAGCAGGCTCCAGCCTGCTTCGTGTCCCCCGGCTCGCTCACCCCACCATTGGCGGGCGGGCCTTCAGCCACTCTGCCCCCACCCTCTGGAACTCCATCCCGCAGTTCCTCTGCCTTGCCCCTCCCTTGCCTCCTTCAAGACCCATCTCAAGTCCCTCCTCTTTGACCATGCCTTCGGTCACCCTCCTTCATCCCTGCCCTCCACCCTCCCCAATCCCGACCCCCAGCTCAGGTCCAAAATACTGATTGTCCAGAGCCTTGGGACATCCTCCCGACGTGAAAGGTGCTATACAAATGTAAATTTTGTTTTTGTTGTTTTACAACATGAAACCTGAAAGGACATGACATATTTGGATCTTTTGTCTGGTTATAGACAAATTATTGGGGGAAAAGTGGGGCAGTGGGATTAAATGTGATTTATTAATATTTTAGATTCTATATTCTATTAGATTAATTAGACAAGATTTGCCTTTAACAAATCCACCTTGGCTGTCCCTAATTAACCCATATTCTTCTAAGTGAAGATGTTCTGTCCCGGATTATAGTCTCCAGGAGTTTCCCCACTACTGATGTTAGGTTGACTGGCCTGTAGTTCCCAGGTTTATCCTTCTGTCCCTTTTTGTACAGGGTAGTAACATTGGCCACTCTCCAGTTCTCTGGCACCACCCCTATGTCCAATGAAGATTGAAAAATTGTAGCCAAAGCCTCCGCTATTTGTACCCTTGCCTCCCATAGTACCCTTGGCTGCATCCCTTCTGGACCGGGTGACTTATCAACCTTCAGCCCAGTCAACCTTTTCAGTACTTCCTCTCTGTTTATACTTACCCTATCCATTTCCTCTACCCTCTCCTCCGATACTGCGGCAATTGGGGCATCCACTTCTTTTGTGAAGACAGATGCAAACTATTCATTCAGTACATCAGCCATGCCCTCTGCCTCCACAATAAGTTTTCCGCTTTGGTCCTTAATTGGCCCCACTCTACCTTTGACTAAACTTTTTTTCTTGATATGTTTCTAAAATATTTTAGAATGCACTTTAATGTTACCCACTAACTTTTTTTCGTATAATCTTTTTGCCCCTCTTATTTCCTTTTTCAGTTCTCTTCTGCACTTCCTATATTCTATTTGGTTGTCTTCTGTATCTTGGGTTTGACATTTATCGTACGCCTCCTTTTTCTGCTTCACTCTAGATACAATTACCTTCGTCCTCCAGGGAGGTTTGAATGCCCTACTTTTCCCTTTTGTGGGAATGTATTTGTTCTGTCCCCAAGCTATCTCATCCTTGAAGACTTCCCACTGCTCTTTAGTTGCCCTTACCCCCTCCTTGCCCTTTGCGCTGTTGTTTTGCCAGTCTATGTTGGGATAATTAAAGTCTCCCATTATCACGACTCTATTGGCCTTGCACGTGTCTGAGATCTGCTTGTAAATCTGCTCATCTATTTCCTTCCCACTATTTGGTGGTCTAGAGTATACCCCTACCAGCATAACAGCTCCTTTTTTGTTCCTTAACTCTAACCAGATAGATTCCGTTTTGGGGCTCTCCAGCACCTCGACCCTTTCCATGGCTATAACCGTATCCTTGATTAACATTGCCACACCCCCTCCTTTTTTTCCTTCCCTATCCCTCCTGAATACATTATAGTCAGGAATATTCAGCTCCCATTCCTGTCCCTGTTTGAGCCAAGTCTCTGTTACTGCTACTACATTGTATCCCCCTATAACCACTTGAGCCTGCAGTTCACCAATTTTGTTTGCTAAACTCCGTGCATTTAGGCATAAGCACTTCAAGACCGACTTGACCTGTTCTGCACTCCACCCCCCACTGTTTTATTTCTCCATTTTCTAGCTCTTCATTTTTTGCATTCTCTTTCTCCCTCAAAACTAGTTTAAACCCTCCCCAATAGCATTAGTTGGCCTGTCTGCAAGGACATTCACCCCAGCCCTGTTTAGGTGTAACCCATCCATATAATACAGGTCCCACCTGCCCCAGAACTGGTTCCAATGATCCAGAAATCTGAAACCCTCTTTTCTGGAACATTTCTCCAGCCAAGCATTTATATGCTTGATCCTGCCATTATGGTACTTATTTGCCTGAGGCACAGGGAGTAATCCAGAGATCACCACCTTGAATATTCTCTTCTTAAGTTTGTTCCCCAGCTTTTGATATTCACTCTGTAGCGTCTTAGCCCTTTTTTTTTACCTATATCATGGATTCCAACCTGGATCAGCCCTTCTGGATGTTCCCCTTCCCCCTGAAGAATTTTATCCACCTGTTCCCTGATGTCTAAGACTGTTGCACCAGGGAGGCAACATACCTTCCTTGACTCCCGTCTTCTGTTACAGTTTGGATAGCTTACCTCAGCCGTTCCTTTTATCCCTCTCACTGTTGTATCCCCTATGACAACTGCATTGCTCCTGTTACTTATGTCCCCCTGTTCAACCAATCGGTTTTTACTATCCTCCCTGGAGATATCAACATTCACAATATTCAGTACAGAGTACCGGTTTGAGAGTGCTACACTATTGGGGGCATTCTGCCCTGCCCGTCCCCTCTTCCTACTGTGCCAGACAGTCACCCAGTCATTTTCCGTCTGGATCCTCGGTGGCTGTAGGGTGACCACCTCTTGATGTGTCTGCTCCATCAAATCCTCACATCCGTTGTACAAGTTTGAGGCCCAAGGCTCCATCACCCCTCTCTGAGGGATCCCATTAATAATAATAATAATCCTTGCATTTGATATAGCGCTTTTCACGTCGGGAGGACGTCCCAAAGCACTTCACAGAACACACTGTAAAGTGATTGACTGTATATTTGTGGGCGAACGCGGCAACCAATTGCGCACAACAATGTCCCACAAACAGTCGTAGATTGAAAATGACCAATTTAATTATTGTTTTTGGTTTTTGGAGGGATTATTATTAGACGTGTGGAGTAAGGAAACTTGCCCAAGGTTTCGCCCTGCCTGGAATTGAACTCAGGTCTCTCACTTGCAAAGCGAGTGCTCTAAACACTGAGCTACAAGACTCCACATTATCTGCAGGACTGATAAAACTATCCTGTCCCTGACCACTAACCAGAAGCAAGCATCTCCCGAGCCTCAGAGCTCAGCTACTCTCAGCTGGACCTTCCTCAGTTGCAGACACTTGCTGCAGATGAAGTTGCCCGGGCTCAGAGAGTCCTCCATTAACTCCCACATGTCACAGTACTCGCATTTCACTTGCCACATCATCTTCTCACACAGTGTTTTCAATATTTTTTTTGTTTTTATTTGTCATCAGTGTTGTAATTTCTGACAGTTCCTTGTTTGTCGATGTCTCCCTGGTTTTGCTGTTGAAAATGACGTCACACCAAAGTCACTTTTTCTTTTTTTCATCGCTCCGACAGTTCAGACAGCTTATCTCAGCCGCTCCTTTTATGCTGCTCGCTAGGCCTAGGCTTCTCCTCCACTCTGTCCTGACTCCTCTCCCCGAATGGGGGATTCATAGCTGCGCTTAATCTTAACAGCCCAACCTTACCTTGCATTATCTCACTCACTCTCTCACTCGTTCTCACACACTTGCACTTATATACAGACTGCCCCCCCCCCCACCCACCCCCTAGATTCCAACATGGTAGCTTGGGGCCTTAAAATCAGACCCCAATTAAATGGTGTGGCCACTGGTCAATATTTTAGATTGAAAGGTCTTGTGAGGTCCCACGCAATGTGTTGGGAACCAGAAATGTATTGCACATACAGTGTTTCTGTGATGTGGGTGGCATGGAAGCCCGATTGGAGGGGGCTCGAGAAGGGAATGGCGGGAGAAGAAGGAGCGAAGCTGAGAAGCAACAACTCATTTCAGGACCTTGGAGAGGAAAGGGAGGTTGGAGATGGGGCGGTAGTTTGGGAGTAGAGAAGGGTCCAGAGAGGGTTTTTTAAGGATAGGAATGATGACAGCGGTTTTTAAAGGGGTGGGAACAGTACCAGAGGATAGGGAGAGGTTAACGATGTCAGTGAGTAGAGGGGCAAGAAGGTGGAGCTGGGATATAAGGAGGGGGATTGGGATGGGGACCAGGGAGCAGGTGGTGAGTTTCATATGGGTTACGGTGGTGTTGACTGAGGAGGGGGAAATGGTTTCAAAGGTGTGGAGGGAGAGGTGTGTAGGGGCTGAGGTGGGAGGAGGAGATGGGAAGGGATTAGTCGTTGCAGTGGCAAAGGCAGCTGAGTGGATTCCCTCGACCTTGGATTCAAGGAAGTCCAGCATTGCCTCACAGTTGGCATTTTATTATATTGTACAATGGTACAAGTTATTCAGTAAAATGAAGAGGGATCAGAAAGGTGAAAGGGTTTCTACATGTATAAAGGACACTAGGAAGATTAAGCAGTTGAGTAAGTATCTCAAGATCAATCGTGTACAAAATTCTCTAGTTAGATGTACTCAACAAGGAAAGATCCAGACTAACATTTGTGGTGTGTTACAGATGGCTAGGCCAAGGTAGAAAGAAAGAACTTGCCACTTCATAAAAATATTAGAAGCATATGAGAAAAGAACGTACCACTGAATGGGGAGTTCAATCAGCCCAACATGAACTGGAAATACGCAAGGGGGGATCTGCATAGTTGGGGATGGTGTCTTTAGATGGGATGTTGAACCAAAGTCTCACCTGCCTGTTCATGAGCTGTTAAAAATCCCACGGCACTATTCGAAATGAGGAGGGAGTTTTTCTTGCTGTCCTGGTTAACAATTCCCTGAATAAAACTGCTCATTCATTTCATGTTTGTTTGTGGCTATTGCTGTGCACAAATTGTCTGCTGCATTCATCTACAAAATATACAGTCACTACACTTTACAGCAAATACTGCTTTAAGATAGTCTTGTGACATGAAGGCATTTCATAGGATTATAGGATTATTTTTATTGCACAACAAATGACTTTTAGTACATTTGCATAAAAAGTGTGGATTTACGAAGTTTGAATACGAGGCACTTGACAGTACTTGTCAAACAAGAAGTTGAAAGAGATACAATACTTTCATGTCATTTGTTTTCATCAGCTGGGTTTGTCGTGTGCATAGATTCATCATGGACCTCATCTTAGAATATCTAAAACTGAACTGAGCATTCCAAAAATGTATGGCACTTATGAAAGTTTGCACGAAATTATGCATGAAAATTTTGCTATGTCTAGAAAGGAATGCTCACTCTCTCTGAAGGATGTCCCATGTCCTGCTTACCTGCTTCCAGAAAGTATTAGGCACATGTTGGCGATTGACAAGGCTTGGAGATCCCAGAAATTGTGTTGGGGTACTGCTGGAGTTTAACCAGTTAAAACTGCATTGATTGCTATCAAGAACACTGTTCTCCCACTGCTTGTCCAGCTAGGGCAAGTTTGGGCATTGGCTTGCAAGTTCCATTGGCAAGAAATCCTCTTGCAAATCTTACAATTTTAATCCCAATGTAATTGTTTTTAGAAATGTTTTTTTAGATTGTTTTGTCATTCAAAATCTATGAGAGCTATCCCAGAAGGGATCTTTTCGGTTACTAATATGAATTCAGTGTACACATTTCCTTGTCAGCGGTGCCATCTCTCAGATGAGATACTAAACCAATCTGTTCAGATGGATGTTAAAGATCCCACATATAAAGAGAAGGACGTTTCTCCCAGTGTCCTGGCCAACAATCACCCAGGTAAAATTGATCAATCACTTCATAGCTGTTTGTAAGAACCTTACTGTGCACAAGTTGCCTGCTGCTTTCACCTACAAAACACTACAGCAAATCCTGTTTAGTGCTTTGAGATGTTTTGATGAGGTTTTGCATCAAATACAAGGATTATTATTATTACATATTTCAGAATATGCATGGACATTTCAACGTCATTTCAAGGAGTGTCTGATTATTTCTGGCAACAGTATCCCAATTGTGCAATATACAGAACACGTTTAGAATGGGTAACTAATGAAAGAGGAGGTAATACAGAAGGAGAGTGCCCTTGGGTTATGGGTGTGTAAATGGTAGCAATTAAACATATCAAATTTAAAACAATGGGGACCAGCACCCTGTGAACAAAGGATCTATAAATTATAAATATAGCCAAAGAGAGAGACAAGAATAACTAACAGCGAGATTGAGGAACATTAGTGGAGAAATTTAGCAACCAAACAGTTAGAGCAAAACTTATTTTTTACACAGTTCAGTATCATACAAATATTCCATTTGATACGGCAAAGTGCTCATAGCACCATCCAGCCAAGTTAGAGTCACAAGCTATCATTACCTGACATGCAAAAGGCTTTCTGACCAGGTTGTTAGGGAGTAGAGCAGGGCTTAGCAATCACACAAGGGATGGGTTTGCATGGCTGGAACCCAGATTTTATTGATGTAACCTGAGAACTATGTTTTTATTAGAGAACGGACATGCGGTATGTCCTGCTGCTCTCACTCTGAGGCTATACCCCCTTAGGCTGCATCCTGAGTTACCAAACTCCTTCCACCCATGTTACACTCTGCCCAAAAAGGACACTTTAAAGAGAGTTACGTGGAGCAATTACTGGCTTTATTACTTAGATAGAGACACGACAAATGCTCCCAACACACAGCACAATTACAGTGATGACAAGTAAACCATTATATATTGCCTGATTACTTAACCTCATGTAGCATTAGTATAGAGCATGTAAAATACACATATGGCAATAAACAATTAAAGGTAATAATACTTAATTGGGCAATAACAAAAGAGACTTTTTGTTAAAGTGCAAAACCCTGTTCACATTTCTTTGTCAAAACACATACCTTCTGCCATAGTTTGACAACACGATGTACCAAAGACATGACTAAAGAGAAAGATGATACAAGGAGGAAGGTTATTGCTCTGTTATTAGAATAAACAAATGACAAATGTCACAGGTGCTAGATCTATGGGTATGGCATTACTGCAGGGATTGAGGGCTTTTGTCCATTTCAGGGATGCAGTCTAGGATGCAGTGTATTATAAAAGTGACCTGTGAAGTTCTTTATTAGTTCAGGGAAAGGGAAATAAAATACATAGAACAGGGAGGTCACTTCAGGTACTTTTATCTCCATGGATGTGTGATAATATTTTCAAGCCATCACTGAGGATAACACAGATGGTAGCACTCTCGCTTTTGAGTCAAAAGGTTGTGAGGTCAAGCAACACATCTGGAATCCACATAGTGTAGGCTGACACTTCAATGCAGTGCTGCAAGTGTCCTGCATTGTTGGAGGTGCCGTCCTTTGGATGAGACATTAAACCAAGGTCCCGTCTACCTGACTAGGTGGACACTAAATATCTCGTGATACTTATTGAAAAGAGAAGTGATTTTCTCTGAGTGTCCTGGCCAAGAATCCCCCAAATAAAATTGGTCTCTCACTCCATGGCTGTTTGTGGGATATTGTTTGCATTTTAAATGCTGCTAATGGGGATAGGTATAATTTCCAATTGCGACATCTTGATCACCCAGAAGATGTTGGGGTATTTCAAGGTCATAGGAACAATACATCAAGGAAAGGAAGTTGAGACTTTAAAAACCTTTGAATCACTGTATGGGTTTCACCATGTATCAAATACCCAACTGACCCCAAAAATTTCTGTGAGACTGTATTTTGGAAGCATTGGCAACATTGCCTGTGCCACCAAAGGAGCTAAACATGTCATCAAAACTGTGATTTCAAATCCATCTATGGCTCACTATGAACAGGTTCAAAATTGAGATGGTATCTTATTGGGGAACCCACTGGTAGAGATCACTGGGTTGCGGGACTGTCTCCATGCTTTTTGGTGAAGAAGACACAGACCCAAAGATACTAATGGGTCCTTGATCATGGGAGCAAAATATGCCTTAAGGACATATTTTCTCATCAAGGTACATGATAATTCTAACACCTTTAGCAATAAAAAGACTTTTAAAAATAATATATTGTATAGGTGAAAGACAGCGAAATAGAAACTGTTCAAGCTGGTCTTATTTAACAGACTTTCTGAATCTGTTGGTTCATTTTAAGATTATGCCAGAGGCTACGGATTTGGAAGCAAAATTTACCTCCATAACATTGCTCACCTGCATCACTACCTCTCCCCCCAGGTCACCAAGAACCTCATTCATGCTTTCATGATGTCCAGGCTTACCTATGCTAACACTCTACTTGCCGGACTACCCAGCTTTTCCCTACAGAGACTGTAGACAATAATAATCCTTGCATTTGGTATAGCATCTTATCACGTTGGAAGGACGTCGCAAAGCACTTCACAGGATTTACTGCAAAATGAAGTGACTGTATACTTGTAGGCAAATGTGGCAGCACAATTGCTCATAACAATGTCCTACAAACAACCATGAATGACCATTTTTTGCGATGTGGCCAAGTGCTGCACCAAGAGATGAAAGGAAGTAACCCAGGAGCCAACTCTGGAAATATGACCATAACCAGATACAGTAGGATGTTAGCAGGAAAGGGATATAAGCAAATAAAATTGGTCACTCGCTTGATGGCTGTTTGTGGGATATTGATGTGCACAAACTGGCTGCTGTGGATGCCCACAAATACATGTTCATCACACTTTTCAGTAAAATCCTATGAAGCACTTTGAGGTGTCTCAACAACACGATAAGACACTATATCAAATGCAAGGATTCACATAGAATCAATTAAGTTGAACTATGGTTTAGAGATTTACTAATTGATCATTGGAGGAAAATCCTTGGTGAAACCAGATGATCCCAGCAGGACAATGTCCTTCATTCTATTTGATCTCAGATTACTGAGAGTAATCTCAGAGTACCCACCCTACCATTTTCCCATTACATCACCAAGCTTTTTCTGAAATGAGCTTAGCTTTTGTCACTTTACTGGTAACCTTTTCCAGACGTCAATTGCCCTTTGTAGAGAAGTACTTTTTGGTTGCCAGCATTTAACATACCACAAGCAAACTGTTTCTGTCCTAAATGATCTCTAAATTAGTATTCTGAGCAGCACCACAGTAACCATTATTTTCTGAAACACGCTTCTCTGCATCAAGGTAATTCAGTGGGAAGCCTTTGATCAATATATTTCACAATAGTCTGACCGGTTTATGATGGTTGTCTAATCATAGACAATAAGGACCTTCTTCCCAAACCTTGTGATGTGAAATCAGAAGATCACAATATCACAAGATTGGTCTGAATGAAGATAGCCCTTCGGCCCATCCAATCTCATCCCTCCAGAATACCCACCCTACTGTTCCCCTGCATCAAGCTGCTTTTTAAATGAATCTAGTGCCTGGCCTTCTCTACCCTTCCTAGCAAATTGTTGCATAGGCTGACTACCCTCTGCATAAAGAAACACTTCCTGAGTTTAGCCCAGGATTATTGCAGTACATTTAACCCATTGAGTGTGTACCAGACCGACTCAGGTTAATCAACTATTTACTTTATTACTTGATTAATATGGTTAACAAATAGTCATAAAAAATGCTTAGAATTGTTGAGTGCCTTTCCGGTTTTGGGAGATCTGTCCTTCTCTCCGGGAGCAGTCACTCCAGCAACTCAGAGGGTCTTATTACTTGGAGTCTCCATCTTCTTACTCTGATCCCTTCTTCTCCTTCTGTAATGATGTCTTATTTATACAATTCTGTGAAATACCTTACATCAGTTTCTACTTTCCCACACACAAACCAGTTCACGATGGTTTCTTATCTCCGATAGAAACCTTGTTACCGAAAGTTAGCCTCATTACAATTCTCTAGACCTCATCAAAGTTTTACATCCTTTTATTGGAGCCTCTTTGTTCACTCTGCCTTTAGGAGCCAGATGTCCGGAGCAATAATAGGATGACAACAATAACTTGCATTTATATAGCATCCTTTATGTGGGGCAGCATCTCAGAGTGCTTTAAGTGGGTCAAGGATTCTTCTTTCTCAAGGCTGAATAATAATAACAGTGGTAATATTTGCATTTGATATAGCGCCTTATCATGTCTTTGAGATGTCTCAAAGCGTTTTACAGAATATACTGTAAAGTGAAGTTGACTGTATATTTTGTGGACGAAACGTGGCAGCCAATTAATACTCATTGCCCTGTTTGTGAAGGAGTCTTTCGTGTGGTACATTGCCAAACTCCTTTTAGAAGTCTCGATTTGTGTTTCCATTATTGGATTCAGGATCACAAAGACTGTGTCAACCAGTTCTAAAAATATACTGTGCAGATAGTGATAGAAAAAATAAAATGCATTTTATAATATTAATAATAATAATCCCTG